AAAAAAAAAGTGCAAACAACAAACCCTAAAAATAAGTTCATCCGTGACGGCGAATGTTCTTTCCAGCTTCCCAGATAGCTGATTGATTTCTTTTTGAAGATCTTTCGTGTCAATCAGAATCTACAGGATGAAAAACAATTAAACCTATGCAATGAAAACGAAAAAATTAAGTCCGTGGCCAATGAATAGAAGAGAAAAAGAATTAAACGCTTCAATGGAGCCAAGCTTAGTAAAATATGGAGTGTTTTTCGATAGAGTGAAGTAAAACCAGAGGCAATTTACCACGGCCAATAAAAACGAAGAAAATATCAAATGGCGTACTTGAACGTGGGAAAACATGGGTGACTGTGTCACGATTGGTTTTAGTGTTCTATGGATCTGATTGGGCAAACAACTCGCACGTGGTTCTCAAACCAATCACAGAGTCTTGTATTTCACATTGAGCCCGCAGTACGAACTCAGGGCAGACACAAGCAAACGCCTGGCTGAAGCGCGGGAAAACATGAGAGACCAACTGTCGGTTGGTTACGCCTTCAACCGCTGAATCTGATTGGTACACTAGCTGAGGCGAGGTTTTGAGACCAATCAAAGAGCTTGGTGAATTAAATCCAAAACAAACCCAGATTACATTCGACTAGCTGAAAATATTTTCACCTTATTTATTTCTTCTTTCTGTTTTTTGATGTTTCCAACAATTTCCAAAATGCGCCGAGTGTATGCGGACCTATTGACATCTTTCCCCAAGGTCTCGTATTCAGCAATCTTCAAAAGAAACAAGGAAATTGTCCTGTCCTTATTCTTTGTTTGGTTATGAGGTACCACTATGTGAAGTGTACTTAAAATACTGACACTGAAAGAAATGTTTCTGAAAAGCTTCAGAATTAATCATAATTAGAATGCCGGTGTAGCGAAGAAAACTACTGACTGGAATGCACGAAGCATTATCGATTGTTAACACTAAAGGCAGATGGAAAAATCCACTAAACCGTATTACCAGCTCTTTATGAAGTTCTTCTTTTCCTCTGGCTTCGTCTGCAACTTCCTTCATTTTCTCTCGAAGAGATCTAATCTCTTCCAATTCTTTCTGAGCCTCAGACTAAAACAAGAAACCAAAAAAAAAAAAAACAAAAAATAAACAATGAACCGTAATTATTTTCTAGGGAGAAATCAATCACATTTAGCAGTAAAATCTTAAACCAAGTCTTCAATCAGTGTTAAATTAGTGTATTTATCTTTTCGCATTAAGCTTTCGGAGTTAGTCTATGAAATTAACGACATCTGTGTATGCTTTTAAGGCAATAGAGCACTTTTTTCAATTACGTCTGTGTAGGAAAAACCAACAAGAACAGAGGAACAAGCCGAGTAAAAAAGAGAACTAACACGCAAGAAGCCACCGAGGATTGAGACACGCGAGTGGTCAGCTTCAAGCGCGGGAAAAAGCGCGAGATGACGACACGATTGGTTCTTACATCTATTGGTTAGAGTGGTGGCACTAGATTTCTAGGCCAATTAATGTAACCCTGAATTAAGGTGGTAAGTTTCTAAAGAAACTATGGTGCTGCGTCGGTGGGGGTAACAAGGTAATTTGGTTTTATCAACTGAGTTAATAATGTATATTGGCCACTGCATGTAAAGGGTTTTAAAGCTGACGTTTCTAACGGTAGCCCTTCGTCCTTCGAGCAGACGAAAGGGCTAATGCCCGATACCTCAGCTTTAAAAACCCTTTACGGTGGCCATTTATATCATCAACTGAGTTGATAGAACCAAATAACTCTGAATTAATTCTGACTCTCAACTGAAAATTGGCTCCTATCAGTGGGTGAAATTTTTCAATTCTTGAAGGAAGAAGTAAACAATCATCTTGTACATCTGTTTATGGCAAACGTAAAACAAAGCAATCTTCTAACTTCTTTAAAAAGATTCAAGCACACGACCTTCTGAAATGTTCGCTCTCTCTCTGTTCTTTTATTTTCGCATTATTTGGAAACTAGGTCGCACATGAACACCATGGAAATGAAAATTCGCATAGAAAGACAGAGAATACTAACCACTCTATTGGCATTGAGCTGTTTCAACTCCCTATACTGATCAATCAGGGGAGCCCTGTGTTTTTCCCACTGCTGAGCCAAGTTCACTAGTCGCTGCGCACTGGAGTCTACAACACTCTAGAAACGTGAATTGAAAGCAAAGATTACAGTGACAAGAGTCATATCGTGCATTTAAAAGTGTAAATAAGGGGGAGGATGACAGGGGTCGGGAGGGTTAGGCAGAGGGATGGAGATGAGAGGAGAGGAGTCTTGAGAAAAGGAGTGATGAGGTAGAGGGGGAGAGGAGAAAAAAACGGGACAGGAGGAAAGGAGTCTTGAGGGTAGGGGTTATGAGACTTCAGGGGGGAGACGAAAGGAGACGAGATGGAAGGAAAGGAGTCTTGAGGGTAAGGGTGATGAGACTTAAGGAGGCAGAAGAAAGGAGACGAAATGGAAGGAAAGAAGTCTTGAGGGTAGGGGTGATGAGACTTCAGGGGGGAGAGGAAAGGAGACGAGACGGAAGGAAAGAAGTCTTGAGGGTAGGGGTGATGAGACTTCAGGGGGAGAGGAAAGGATACGAGATGGAAGGAAGGAGTCTTGAGGGTAGGGGTGATGAGACTTCAGGGGGGAGAGGAAAGGAGACGAGATGGAAGGAAGGAGTCTTGAGGGTAGGGGTTATGAGACTTAAGGGGGGAGAGGAAAGGAGACGAGATGGAAGAAAAGAAGTCTTGAGGGTAGGGGTGATGAGACTTAAGGGGGGTGAGGAAAGGAGACAAGATGGAAGGAAAGAAGTCTTGAGGGTAGGGGTGATGAGAATTCAGGGGGGAGAGGAAAGGAGACGAGATGAAAGGAAGGAGTCTTGAGGGTAGGGGTGATGAGACTTCAGGGGGGAGAGGAAAGGATACGAGATGGAAGGAAGGAGTCTTGAGGGTAGGGGTGATGAGACTTCAGGGGGAGAGGAAAGGATACGAGATGGAAGGAAGGAGTCTTGAGGGTAGGGGTGATGAGACTTCAGGGGGGAGAGGAAAGAAGACGAGATGGAAGGAAGGGGTCTTGAGGGTAGGGGCTATGAGACTTAAGGGGGGAGAGGAAAGGAGACGAGATGGAAGGAAGGAGCCTTAAGGGTAGGGGTGATGAGACTTCAGGGGGGAGAGGAAAGGAGACGAGATGGAAGGAAGAAGTCTTTAAGGTAGGGGTGATGAGACTTCAGGGGGAGAGGAAAGGATACGAGATGGAAGGAAGGAGTCTTGAGGGTAGGGGTGATGAGACTTCAGGGGGGAGAGAAAAGGAGACGAGATGGGAGGAAGGAGTCTTGAGGGTAGGGGTGATGAGACTTCAGGGGGAGAGGAAAAGAGACGAGATGGAAGGAAGGAGTCTTGAGGGTAGGGGTGATGAGACTTTAGGGGGAGAGGAGAAAAAAACGGGACAGGGGGAAAGGAGTCTTGAGGGTAGGGGTGATGAGACTTAAGGGGGGAGAGGAAAGGATACGAGATGGAAGGAAGGAGCCTTAAGGGTAGGGGTGATGAGACTTCAGAGGGGAGAGGAAAGGAGACGAGATGGAAGGAAAGAAGTCTTGAAGGTAGGGGTGATGAGACCTCAGGGGGAAGAGGAAAGGAGACAAGATGGAAGGAAGGAGTCTCGAGGGATAAAGAGACGAGACAAAAAGGAAGAGAAGAGAAGAGAAAGGAAAATAAAGGGGGGGTAAGGAAGGAAAAAACAGGGAGGAGGAGACGACGGACTTTCGTTTACATCGTCCAGTGCGCGAGGAAAATGAGGGCCGCTAGCGTAGTTAGGAACGCGAGGTAAGTGGAGGGGGAGGGGATGAGGAAGGAGAGAATGGACGGTCTGTGGATTTATGGATAAGTCAATTTCCCGTATCTCGAACTAAATTGCCCGTCGCTCAATTTCGCGTGCTTGCCTCGTGCTTCCTCGCTAACTACGAAAATAAAATGACTGTGGAAAAAACTAAGAAAGAACATGCAGTGGGAGGGGACGTACACAAACAGAACTGGTCAAAACAGTATGCGCCCTAAAAAAAAAAAAAAACAGTTTCTTTGCATGAATGTAACTGATCACCTGTAGTTTTGCGATGTTGTTCTCTGCATCAGGCAGTAAGTCCATTGTTCTTTTGTTTACTTTGTAAACTTCTTCCTGATCAGTGTTCTTAGTCTTCTGACCAGCGACTTGTTCATTTGCCTGAAGGGGAAAAAACGTCTGCGTCACCACTTTGCATTTACACCCAATTTTTTTCGTATTGATCAGTCAATGGCAATTTAAATTGGACGCCATGTTTCGATTCGGTGTATACTCGAGCCAAGCGGCCCATCCAGCGGCAGCCTATCCCTGTTTCCACCGCATGAAGCAACTAGCGCTATTACTTCTCCCCCAGCCCCCGGAAGGGATAACCAGTCCATCGCAAGGTTACCCCTCAGCATTTCATCAGACTTTCCTGTTATTTTCCGCGGCACCCATTTGTACCCCTGGGTGGGGAGAGAGAGAGAGGCACTGTGAGAGTGAAGAATTTCGCCCAAGAACACAAAACGCTGACCCGCCCAGGTCTCGAACCCAGATCTCTAGAACTGGAGTCCAGCGCACTGACCGGAAGGCCAAACCGTCTTCCGTATCACTGCGAAATTAATTGATTTTATGTTTATGCTAGTGATCCGTTACTAAGCCAACCTGTTGTATACCAGCCAGAGACTTCTTGATCCCAAGTTCATCGCGTTCAATGCCAGCATTCAGTTCACCCAGTTTCGATTGCAATGCTTCGAGTTCTTCTTCTCTTTTCTTCCTCATCTCCTGCTCACAAAAAAAAAATAAAATAAAATAAAACCAAAAAAGAAACTAAATATAGAAATTACTTACTGGAACAGTGAATAGCCTGGCATTGAATTGATGCGATCTTGGTGTACGAATCAATCTGATGGTCAGTTATCTCGCGCTATTAAACAACATTCAGTGCCTAACGAGTGA